TCTTGTGAGCAGGAACGGATTAATCCATTTTACAATGATTCCTATTGGAAAAATAGTTTTGGTTAACGAATATTTCAGGTTACGAGTAGGCTTCAGGAATGAATTAATTTTGTGAACCAAGGTTCCACTGTATTGTGATAAAAGTATATTGTATAGAGAGAAACCATTCTTTGAATTAACAATTCTGCTTTTCTTTTTTCTGTTAATATTTTGTTTTTTATTATAAAAGAAAAATAATTAGAAAAAAATTAAAGTATCAAATACATAATGAATAACAACAATAATGAAAAATTAATATTATCATTAAATATATTTCCTACAAAGTACATCACATTGAGAAAAATAAAATCTTAAATGCAGTGCCATTTCAATTTTATAATAATAAAAATTAGATTTCAATTATAAAATATCACTAATTAAAAGAGCAGTCAGAGAGAGAGAGAGAAAACTATAAAGGGAGAGTGAAAATCTGTGATGATGGTTTCAGCAGTTTGTAACTCAAGTAGCAGATCAAGAACTTCTTGACTGGCTATTGAACATTGTATTCAGTGTTAGCTTGACCAATCTGAAGACCACTGAAGTATTCACACTTGAGTGAATTCTTAACAGTATGAATAAAATCATAGCTTATTGCCATTTGGTCCTAATCAAACCCAATTATTACACATACACACACAAGCAAGCAAAAAGGAAACGGAACCACGAGCCATACCCAATCATGTTCTTAAAATATTCACTTTTGGAATAGATGTACAAAAGGGTAAAGTTGCAAAGAGAATTATAAAAAAGGTGCATTTAAAGTATTCAGACTGAGTGGTGATTCTTGTGTGAGGAGAAAAGTGAAATGCATTCAAAAAGGATCACCTTGATTCAAATCAATTTTTTTTTTTTTCACAACTGTGATCTTACATGTTATTGCTTTTTATTTTATTTTCACTTGTTTTTGTTGAAAACGGATGATGAAATTTTCACTGCCAAATCAACTATTCTGACATTTGGTCATTAACATGAGGATGTGATGAAAAGTTCTCAGCCTGATCCACTTCCCAAATCAGTATTTCAACGAACAAGCAAAATATTTTCGGGGAATTGTTAAAGAAAGCAGTGCCAAATGTGTTGATATATGGAATAACATGCTTCATGGCTTTAGGTCATCCTTCTTGTTCTATGCGGGATATCTACTAACAAAAGTGATGGAAAGAAAAAGAATCTAAATGAAATTAGCTAGATAAAAAAAAAATTAAATTCCTAGCATCCTTCATTTGTGCACATGTGTAGTCACACCAACATAACAAATTTAGTCTGACGAAGTCCTAAGGGGTAAAACATATCACATGAAAACTTTTCTACTTTGTCATACATTTTCCACCATTATGTTATCTTAAAGAAATTTGTATGCATTTGAAATTGAAACTTTTTCATTTTCTTTTCTTTTTCTTTTTTTAATAATGGCAGACAATATCTTCATTATAAAATTGTGGGTGGGGTGAATCATTGTAGATCAATTTGGAGATTATTTTTTTTCTTTGATTATTAATATCAATTTTCTTTTTACTTATTATTTTATATTTTACCTTTTATCAGTCATTTTTTTTTTTAGGCAAGTTGATCTGACTCACCTGAGACATTTTTTACATTATAACAAAGTGTATTTCAGTGATGTTCAGTATAATTCCTATATTTTATAGTTTTATAAAACCTTCAAACAATTTTTTTTCCTCTCTTTCTTATTTCAATTCAATCAGATAATTTTTCTCAAATTTTAGAGTATTATTATAGAAATTATATTATGAACTCAGTCTTAAAATTGCAACTATATCAATCAGTCAGTTATGTACCATGCGTGATACATGCTTAGGCGATCATGTATTTTTTGATACATGACTGACAAGGCAAATTTTTCCCCACAGTAGGTTGCCATTTCTTTCTGCAATAGACCAGTTGCCATCCAAGGCTATAGAACCCAGTCTGTCCTACTATTTACCCATAGCTAGGGGGAGAAGAAGAGAATTCATAATTTTCCCAAGGGTATTAGCACGTAAGTGAATGTAATGGAATTCAAACTCAGCTCTCCAATTTCTCAATCCGAACTGCTATCCATTGCTTGCCTAATATTATTCTTATTATAAGTACCAAATTCCCACATAACAAGATTTTTAGCAGTATTTCTGAAAAAGCATTATTTTTGCATTAAACTTTCACAAGAAGAAACTATTGCATCAGTCTGAATTTTATGCATATATGTTGATTGCAGATGTCATGGGATATAAAAGATTTGTCATACTATTTGTTTGATACAAACCAAGTGACTTAATTATAGAATTTATATTAGAACAAATTTCACTCTTTTCCTACTGGAATTTTCTGATGAATCATAATTCTTAAGCTTATTACTGAATAAGCTCCTTACTAGTTCTATAGCTATAAAATATCCATGAAAATTTCCCTATTGTTAAATATTTGAGCTTAACAACTTAAATCTTATTGAGTCACTACACTACACCTATCCAGTGTTGCACACAGAGCCTTGCCTGGGATGTTAAGGTTTCAAGATCAAGTGTACATGGATCTTTAAAATTGGGGCAAACAAGATGTTCCATTGTTTGTGATTGACTGCATTGGCAGTTGGGATCAACATCAGTAGCATATACCCATTTCTAAAGGTTGGCTCTACAGCAACCAACAGCTGTTTGGGGGTGATTTAGGCAGGACCAGAAGGACCAGGCATCACTGGAGCCAGGGGAAGGGATACTGTAAGGCTGAGAGAGAGCCTGTGTTCCACATTGTTAAGGTGACTGCACCACAGAGACAGATGCTAACTAGAAGCTATGTTGTTCAATGATTCAGCTGAGTGTAAAAAGCTATCCCTTGACTTGAACCTCTTTGTCATTGGTTCACAGCTGTAGAGTGGATGACGAGGGTCAATTTCCTGCTTCAAGTTCTTGAGTTTGGTGTGGACTCACCATATGTAAGGGGAGGCAATGCTACTAAGCAAGTAGAAACAATAAAAATATGACAATAACAATCATAAGTATGAATGCAGATCAGTATTTAAAAATGTAAGAGGTTACAAATGAAAAGGTTAACTGATAAGGTTTTTCATTTCACTTAAGCAGATATACATGAGAGCATTATCAACTCTTCTATCTTCGCTGCCTTCCTTTTCTTTCTTTCTTTCATTATGCATTTTCTCAGAGAGAGTTTTATACTACTAAGTACACACAAAATTGTATACAAATATTTACATTTGTCCCATGCAGAAGAACTGTAATACATGTATGCAACAACAAGCAGTGTGAAAATAGCCACTTTCATCGCTTTATAAAGTGATGCCATTAAGCGGCTGTTATATGACTCATGCGACTTCCACTCAACCAAAAGGAGATAATCGCCTTTTGTGCCCCTACAATATGATTTTATTTTCAGTTTTATTATCAAGGTGCAACATTGGATTTACTGCAGATCAAAAGTAGCAAATGCTATGGGCCCCACATTTTTGAAGGCACTACATTAAACACTTTCAAGCTGTCTGGTGAAATCCAGGCCTTTAAATCCACTCAAATATCTCAGAATCATTTGCTTCTTATTTTCATGGTTTCTTTATTATGTTGCTAAAAGTTAAATATTAATAAGTTCTATCATTGTGCTAGTAAATAATTTATGATTTAATGTGTATCTTTTAATTTAAGGCCTATTTATAACATATCACTGGCCTCATACTTAATATAGCCCTGACAAGGTGAGTAAAATTTTGATTCTACACTATTATTAATTTGCAAATTGTACTGAAAATTGCCTTAGTCTTTACCCTTGGGAAAGGTATGAATCCTCTTCTACCCACCCCCCTCAGCTATGGGTAAATAGCAGAACAGACCAGGTTCTATAGCCTTGGATAGCAACTGGTCTACAGCAGAAAGAAATGGCAACCTACTGCGGGAAAAAATCTGCATCGTCAGTTGTGTATCAAAAGATACATGATCGCCTATGCGTGTATCACGCATGGCACACAACTGACTTCAAGTTAGAACAATATTACTAAAATGCTCTATCAAAATGTCACTGTAATGTGCCATTTTTGCTTTATGGTAACAAATACACTAACAGATATCAGATCATAATAATATAGATATGAATAACTAAAGTTATTAGAAGAGACACCTAACATCATTCTAGCCATTACTGACTGAAAACCAGTTTCTTTCTTTTCTTTCTTTGTATATTTTTATATTTATTCTGGCCATAATTATTGCATTATAGTAGTAGTTGTAGTAATATCTATTCATTTCCAACCCACATAAATATTTCTTTTATTAACTTTGTTTTTTCAAGAAATGATAATCATTAATTGGGTCATTTTTTATTTGTCTCTTCTTTCTCCCTGAAAATAGCTTTTAAAACTCTGCTATTAAATTTTCCAAGGCAGTTTAGGGCCAGCAATCTGGACCCACAAAAATTATACCAAGTGGCCAGTCTTCCCAACACAAATCCCAAATCCTTATTAATGAGATTTAATTCATTGTTCTGTATCTTCTCTTCTGATCAATCAATTACAATCAAGACAGGCCTGAAATTAGTTATTCACTTCCAATTTTGCAGGCTTTGTTGTGTCATCAATAACACCAAAAAATTGGCGATACAATTTAAAAAAAAAAAAAAAAAAAAAAAAAAATCATCCCTTAAAATTATAATATGCTTTCATTTCTTTTCTTTTTTTATATAAACTGATTGATTTGTTTTGTATGAATTATCAACTCATTGCAGATTATTTAAAGCCAGAAAATATTTTTAGATTGTAAGATTTTTTTTTGATTTTTTTGGGATAATAATGATTTAGTGATACAAATCTTACTAATTAACCCATAACTGGAGGAGAAGAGGTGGATTCATACCCAAGGGTATTTGCACAAAAGTGAATATAACGAACCCAATTGCAATTGGAACTCAGCTCTCCAATTAACAATTCCAAGCCATTATCCATTACATCAACCACACATCCAAGTTTACACCACCCGATATTCCAAAGTGGTCACCCATGTAAGTACTGACCAGGCTCGATGTTCCTTAACTTCAGTGATCGTATGGGAAACAATATTTCAATGTGATATAGTCATAAGCCTAATATAAACAGTAAACTGACTGAACTTTTTTATTTTGTAGTTTCATTACTAAACTGTACATACATACAATTGCATAAATTATTCCCATACTATGTATCTGAGGAGTTACTGAAAAGTTCTCAGCCTGATCAAGAAACTCTTCCAAAAAATAATAAAATTTAATGCTTGGTCATTTGGTAAGGTCTTGCTAGGTAAATAGTATTAACTTTTCAGTAGCACCTTGTAGATTTTTGTTATAAAATTTAAAAAAAAATTAATTCAAAACAATTCAAACTAAAACACTAAGCATTATCAATCTGAAATATGACTTTTTAATCAAAGTAATCTTTCTTTCATAATATAAATCTACTGTCTATATTTCTGAGATGAGGTATTGTAACTATTTACACTGTTCAGACTGTTGTCCTCATCTTTGTTGCCATATTCACAACATTTTGGCCATTCAGATGATTGGAATTTTCAACTAAACCCTATTATTTTGTCCACCAGAATAGATTATTCTAGTTCTACATGCAGTTATTTTCCCTTTAGTAACTCAACTCTCCAAATTTTATCCACTTTCAGCATTAAACTCCCAACACTTTGGGTCAAGTCACTACAACCAACACTTTTATCCACTGGGCCATGTGTCCTTGGGGACATCAGTGTATAAATATTTTTGGGACTTATAAACCTCATGTGTCATCATTTTTTAACAGAGCTCATATTACAATTTGTTATTATTGTTTTTCTCTAGAACTCTGTATTACTGATTCCCATATTGTATTCATGTCTATGCTTGGACGGTTTAGAAGGTTGGAGCATACAATGGCCAAAATGTCCTGCATATTACAACAAAGATGAGGACAACAGTCTAAACAATGTAAATAGTGTAAATAGAATTCTTATATTTAAAAATCCATCCATAAATAACATTTATATAAAAAAAGTTAAGTCTTAACTTTTAAAGAGTCATCTTTTTATTTTGGACAAAACACAAGATTTATTTTCCCTTTAGGTAAATGATTTACTTTAAATGATTCTCTTTTAACCATGGCTGTACTTTAAACACAATGTAATGAAATAATTAAAAAATGCTTTTGTATGGTAACTGATTATGTATTCTTAAAAAATATAAAACATTATCTAACACTCATGACACTAAACACTACCACACATACAATTAGTTATTGATATTAATCAACATAGAAGAAATTAAATCTAATATTCATAAATACTTTGGCTAATGACCAAGCAAAAGACAAAAGAACATTCCTTTCCACCATCCATTATTCTTGATCGATTTCTAATGGCAGAAATGTTTTCAGACATTTAAAAAATAAATAAATCCAAAAAGATTGATAAAAGAATTAAGTTAAAACGAAAAAAGATATAAAAATAAGAAATAATTTAAAAAAAAAAAAAAAAAAAATCCTCTGCTAAATTTTAATTGGAAATTGTTTTTCTTTTTTGTGGAATATATCCTATGACAAATTTAATTTACCCTATTTTTAAAATAATTTTTTTTTTTTTTTATACTATTTTTTTTGTTTTAAACCCATGGATTTTATTTTTTATTATTCCACTTCAATTGGTAAACAATAATGATAAAACTGAAAGATTTTTTTTTCTCAACAATGCAAGACGCTATTACTTTGCTGATGTCAGAGATGCTTGGGTTCTGAATAACCGTGGGCTTCTATATTTCACACATGGAGAGGGTAGATGAGTACACCTACATCATTTTTAAAGAGATGGGTTCCAAATTTGTTCCACAAGGAATAACATTGGTTTCCTCTTTTTGGGTGGCATTGAGTAATTTCAAAAGGAAATGTGCAAGACACAAGATAGTGCCAAAAAGTGGGAATGTAATCTCAGAGATTTTCAGATTTTTCCATCAACTTGTTTTTTTTCTTTTTTTCTTTACCTTTCTCTTTTTTGAAGGAAATAGATGGGTGTCACCATTAACTACAACATGCTTAATTGATATGACAATATGCTAGACAAACATAGTGCATTCTTCAGCAGAACAATATGAGTGTTAGCCATATCAACATCTCCATAGGTCAATGTAATGTATAGGAATTCTTTTTCATTGACAAATATAACGTGGTTATGTAAAATAGCTTTTCAATTTGTGTGTGTGTGTGTGTGTGTGTGTGTGTAAAATTTCAGATTTAACTAAAAACATATCTGCAAAAGCACAATATGAATAAAGACAAAAGGAAAACTTATTTTAGCCAACGTGTTTCATCCTCAGATGGACTTTTCTATAAATATTTTCATGGTAATTGTTCTGATAAGCTTTCCTCTTTGGTACCTTGACTTTACAAATTGAAGCATAGTACTAGTTTGGAAGCTAGGTCTCATCATTTTACAGTTAAAATGGCTAGATGTAAGCATAAGTTCTATGCTAACAGTTTTTTTCTCTTGCACTTCTCGTTTGTGGAATTCTTTTCTGGCTTATTGCATTCCAGTCAGCTTTGATGATCAAATTTTAAATGCAATATCTATCATTATCATCTGTCTTAATTCCTGTTCTTTTATTGTCCTCTTTCCTTAATGCTTTTTTTTCTCATATTCTCTCACACTCAGTAACCCCTTGAGTTTTAGTGGCCTTATTCATTTGCTTGGGGTGAAATGATTATATATGACTTCCAAAATACTTGTTCCCTATGCAAAAAGTTTATCTATCATTGTTGCAGTTAAAATATTTCTTTTTATGTCCTATGTCCCTTTACAACATAGACAAACATGACTTCTCAACTTCCCAACCTTTATAGCTCTGAGTAATGTTTGCCTTTTTACTATCCCTCTCACTACCTGTTGAACTATCCATTTGCACAAGTTCATTCTGTAGGTTACTCACAATTTCCCCTCTGCCCTTCTTGTCTTCAATATGTCCTGTAAGTGTTAAATTCTCCAAGACCTTTTTCCTCATAATGTATTTCAAATATTTCAACTGTCTCTTTCCAGTTTTAAGTATAAGCATGCTCTTTGTTTCCATTTATCTTAAACCTTCCCTCATTGCTTACATTCTCCATCCATGATAGTTTCCATATCGTTCTCTACAAGGGCATCTTTGTTATATCATCTCCTCTTCAAGAAGTTTTAACAGCAGTTAAATGAAGAAATGGTTGATGGTATAAAACCAGGGAGAAAATGTGAGAGAAGGCTTGACTGTGTTTAATGATTAGACATGGAAAAAAACAAGTCAGTTTTGAGAAATTAATTGGGTTAATGGGTTCTTAAGGAAATGAACCTGACTATAAACTTTGAGATAAATTAGTAACTTAGTATAACTTACCAGATGTAATGGGTGCATACTAAGTTGGTAAAAATAATTATGGCAAGTAATAAATTACTTAAATTACTTCCTTGGCTTGAAATAAAATATCTCTAAAGCCCTTGAGATTAAGTTGTTTGCATAAAGACCTATAAAATTGATATAGTTTCTTAAGCAGAATCCTTAAAAAGCCAAAACTGACTAATGGATTACTCTGTGTATTTACATAAAGATATATTCACTGGTGGTTTTATTGGAAGAGTAGTTTTCAGGAAGTAGGTTATCAGAACTCTGTCAAGTGCCTAACTAGCCATGTGCTTTTCCAAACAAAGGAATTCCAACAAGAACGTAAATTAATAGTCAAATCATACCAATACATTACTGGTGGCAAGTTGGTAGGCTAAATTATATATTACATACTCATAGATATAGGGTGCACTTTAGAGAGTTCTGCCAAGATGGCCAGAGAAGGGACATAGATGCGAGAGAGATACATAGCAACAGCTGTAAGGACAGACCATCAGCAGATCTCCAAAAATGTGGGAGAACTAACAAAGAGATAAAGTTTAAACTATTGTGCAATGCTGTCAAGCATTAAAATTGGGGAAGGAAGTTGTTAGTTTGAAAGACTAACAGTTGTTAGTTTGAAAGACTAACAGCTAAAATAAACTAAGTTTTGTTAAAACCTTCTTTATCTTTATTCCCAAACTTCAAACAATCTCAGGAATCTATCAACATTAGTTTTGTGGGACATGTGGCTGGCTCAGGTTTAAAAGGTTTCAACCCTGAGGGTTGAAACTTCTTCAGATATTACAGAATCACAATGTGGGAGGAGGTGTGTTCTGTCCAGGAAGTCACTGGTTTAATAAAAAAGACAATTGGCCAACGCTTCCAGCCATTGTACTATGTCTATATCAAAAACAAAAACTCCAAAGCTACAAAATGACAAGCACACATCAAACAACCTTGTCCCCACCAGGTATAATATTATATCTGGCACCATGTCCAATGATTCTTGAACCTGAGATTACCACAGAAAGACACACACCATATATTTAGTGGCCTGAACAACAAGCCTGTTCCTAGCATAATGTTCAAATGTTAGATATTATAGTTTATTCTACTTTAGCAATAAATTTATATACACTTTTTGGATGGATCTGAACATATACATTTTTGGCAATATTTAAATTTTGTGCCCACAAAAAAAACAGTGTACCAAAAGGATGGTTATTCCCTTGACACTGCTATTACTGTATACATTTTTAACTTACTTGGCAAGGTTATAAAAATACGGAAACCAAGTACAATGCAATATTTATTATTTGTCTTTTATAAAGATTTATTATTTACCATTTTATAAAGAAATAAACTGAAAAGAAATAATTTTATTAAAACACTAGCAGTATAACCCATCTTTGACTAGGTATTTTATTACTGGGAATTTTTACCGTTCAACTGGAGTAGTTTAAGTTTAAAGTCAGCCCACCCAAAAAATCAATATTAGTAACAACATTTTGGCGCAACTGAGGCACATCCCTAAATGGGGAAGTGGGGGGACAACTTGAAGGAGCGAGCCTGAAAAGGGAACTGCATAATAATAAATAATATTATTGTAATAATTTAAACTATTTATTTTTATTTAAGTTTTTATGAAAGACAGATATCCAAGAACAGATAGTAAATAGTAAAACGTTGCCGAGTTATAATGGAGAGAAAGTAGTGGA